CATTGTAGTATTGTCCTGCACGTCAAGAACATACAGATTTCCTACTCGCCTACCCTGACCAATCATCAACGCCTTGGTACGATCATGTATTGCACAAGTATAAGGATCAAATATCACTCTTGAAACAGTATCAGTAGTCAAAGAGCTGATGCTGATAAGGTGTAAACGGAACTCAGGTATAAACAAAACATTTCGTAGAAGGATATGTTTGTTTAACCGAATATTTCCCACGCCACTAATCTTGACCAAAGATCCATTTGGCAAGTTCACAGAGCTCTGTATAGAAGTATCCAAAGTAGTGAAAAGATCCCTATTGTGGGATACATGGTGAGTAGCTCCAGAATCAAGAACCCAAGTCTCATTGCCTAAAACTGTTTTAGAAACAGTAAGAATGCCAATGAAGCAAAATGTAGACGGAGAAAAGGTGATACCAGTGACATCATTCTGAGATTGAGATGTAGAGGCCTCGGCGTGAGCTGAAACAGGAGTACTCTGAAGTTGAGAACTGAAGAGAGCAATGAACTTCTGGATTTGATCTTTTGTGAGATTACCAATCAAACCATCAAGAGACGAAGATTTCTCATCAGACTTAGCAGACAAGTTGACTTGGGAAGTAACAGAGGGAGATTTCTGAACTTTATCCACATTCTTGCCTTTAGTGAGATAGCCTGGAGGGAAACCATGTTTCTTGTAACATCGCTCAGCAATGTGACCAACTTTGTTGCAGAAAGAACAAATTGGTTTGCCTTTATGAGCACCAGATTGAACATAGCAGACAGTCGAGTTCTCTTAAGCTGAAGTGTTGGTTTCAGATACCTGAAAAGCAGCCGGAGAAATTGCAGTAGCAAAGTTCTTCTGACTGTCATCTTGATCCAATATGTTATACACTTCAGTAAGAGAGGGGAGTGTCTTCTTCATGATAATCTAACGCCTGATCACACCATATGACTCATTCAAACCAGCAAGGAACTTCACAATCTTAGCTCGGTCAGCCTTCTGTTGTAGACGCTGAGCTTTGCCACAAGTACAAGGATCATCAGCCTCTTCACAGTTTTCTAAATGACTCCACAGTGTCTTCAGTTTAGTGAAATAATCAGAAAGTGATAGAGAGCTCTGACGTAAATCTTGTATCTCCTGTGTAAGATTGTAGGTCCTTGGCAGATTGGTCATATGGAAACGACTATGCAAATCACACCACAGGTCAGTAGCATCACGCAAACGTAAAATACTACGATATATCTCGGGTGAAACAGAGTTAAGGATCCAGGATTTAACCAAACTATTTCATCTAGACCAGATTCGAAAATTTTGATCGGATTCATCAGGACGAGGTATCGATCCATCAATAAAACCAATTTTATTTTTCGCATCTAGATCAATCTTCATCGCAGCTTCCCAATCATCAAAGTTCGATCCGTAAAGTTTGAGAGAGACGAGTTGCAAACTTGGATGATCGGATGTGTGCATAAAGAATGGAGAGTGAATCGCATCCGTAAGGTCGACACCTGCATTCGATCGGAGAGCCTGAAGATCCGGACTCGCAGACGCCGGAGAAGCATTCTGAGCCGAGGCATTCGCCGTACGGGTCGAGCGACGAGGAAATCTCTTCACAGACACCATCGTAACACAATGATCGCAAGAAAATGAGCTCAGATCAAGCAGATTTCGCGAGAAACAAGCTCGATTTCAGCTCTGATACCATATTACGATCAAAGTTTTATGAGAGAGAGTGAGAAGAGAGTTTGTTATGAAATGTTATCTTATTCCATAAGAAATGTACAATTGCAAGTATATATAGTCAGATATACATTGAACCGGATCTATACAACAAACCGTCAATCTAATTTAACCAACATAAACCAGTATACCATCTAATACTTTGGTTCATGAACTATTAAACAATTTTAAGTTGTTCATTCATCTCATGTTATTGATTGGCTCTCGGTTGCCTATGATATTATTACATATACAATTATTATATCGATATGTGCAACTCACGAGCATAAAAGAAAAACATGTTCAATCACTTGCTTATTAATGATTCATAACTTGATTATTTCTTTTGGCTTATATTGACCTAATCATGATCCTGCTTTTCGTGAACCAGAGTTGATTAGATAGTTGAGCCAAAGAGAATCAACAAGCACTTGCCACCGTCATAACCTCATGCTTTGAAGGACGGCTTTCAGCTAAGAGCTTGGCGGAAGCGGTACAAGTGGCACAAGCCGGTGTGTCTCTCGACATCATCATAGCCTGACGAACATACAAGCCAACAACTTAATGATCGCGACACGAGCCTTCGGGTCAGCAATAGTTCGGTAAACTTGTATCTTAGGCACAAGTTAAAATTTAACTTGCTTTCTACTAGGCACGAGTTTGCAATTGATTCGCTTATTGTTAGACACTAGTCTACAGAAACTCATCCTTGGCTAGGCACGAGTTTACATAATATCTCCTTCTACTAGGCACGAGTTCAGTAAACTCGTCTTTGTCACGTCATGAGTCTAGTAAACTTGCCTTTCATTAAGCACGAGTTTAAAGTAAACTCGCCTTTTACTAAGCACAAGTTCAAAGTAAACTCGCCTACATCGTCATAGGCATGAATGTGTCTAGTTCATTTTCTAATAAACCCTATTCGTAAAATTCACAGTTATCGACTTCGTCTCTCTCTACGAACTTGGGGGGACTTAGTGTTAGGGGTGGATTTACATCCTCCCTAAAGGCCCATTAGACAATAAATTAGGCCCATATTGACAAGAAGCCTTAGGCTTCATACTTCCTATAAATAAGGAGCTACCTTCTTATTAGGAAGGATCTTTCTCTTCTTTTAGATCTAGAACACTTCCTATAAGAATTTTATAAATTCTTAGATTCACTTTACTATTCAAATCATTTGTAATGCAATTTTTGATCAATAAAATCTCTTGGATGTTCTTTCTCATTTGATTTCAATGTTGATTTCTCCTAAGCCTCAAGAATCTAACCCTTAGATTCTTTCGTTGTATGAATTCAACAAACACACCATTTTCGGTTCAAACAGATTTATGTATTTCTGATTTGCAAAGAGGTTTAGCTCGTGCTTCAGTTACAAGTAATCAGCTGGGTATACACATGAATTAAAGTAACATATTTATGAGGACAGAGGCTGGAAGAAATGAGTTTTTCTAAGGCCTGAGATCATATTCAGCTACTAGAGGAGACTTGATAATATAACCTAAAGTGCATCGATCGTGTTTATTGTTCTGGACACTCTTGAATCATTCCTGAAACTCAGAAACAAGATCTTCTTGCCGTTGATTGGAAACTGTAGGGTCGAGGGTGAAACTAATATTATGCAACGTGCTTGTTGCCTCAAGTTGAGACCTTTTTAGATGTGTGTTTTCTTACACTGGTGTCTTGTCATGATGTATGAAGGAGCAAGGAACAAGAGGCAAGAGTTTGTATTCTGGAGTGCTTGTTGAGTTCTTTGGAGCTTAACTATTATGGGATTTCTCTTGCTTGATAACGTGAATAGATCAATGCATTTTGCTTGGATCTAAGTAACAAGACTGTCTTGGAATGGTCTGAGAATAAATGAATTCTGCTCAGAGAACTTACAAGAGCAAAGGGGCAGAGACTGTATCAATGGATATACCCGAGCATACACCAAATGTTAAAGCAAAATATGATATGTTTAAAGGTTAGTTTTAACTTACTTGAGCACTCAAACATGGGGGAAATAATTTCTTATTTCTTACTTATGGGTTCTAAGTATAGAATGAGTTCATATTCTTCTACCGCATCAAGAAGAGATTGTTCTGTGCGTACGTCAGGCTTAGATCCTGGTCTATTGGCGACAGCGGTGTCTAATTGATGTTAGGACAGCTGAGAGAGACACGGCATTGATGAAGGTGAAGAAAAGACAAAGTGCTTGAGTATCAACCTAAGTTAAAAGGGGGGAGAATGTTACAAGTGTGCTTAGGGTTTATTATGCAGTCATCAAAGGAGAGGTCATTGGTGATATATGAGATGGTGCTTGGATTATAAAACATAGTCATCAAAAGGGAGATTGTTAGTGTTGTGTTGACTAGTTTGAGAAGGCGCTTGAATTCTAAAACACAGTCATCAAAGGAGAGATTGAAGATGTAATGCTGTTTGGTTTGAGAAAGCAAAACGGAAAGTACATCAGGAAGTACTACATAACATAGATCAAGAAGTGGTTCATGACGTACAGTAGGAAGTATGATCTTGTATGATCTGTGTGTGGCGTCATCCCACCAAAGAGATTTGTATGATCTTGGTGGTCATGTTCTAACTATTTGTAGACAGTGATGCTCCAGTGCTGCTGGATGGTAGTCAATGCATGTGTGCTTGATACCTATCTTTATAGTTCATCAATCTAGAAAAGAATGGTAGACATTGTAGTGTTGGATACCATAGCAATTGTAATTGCAATCATGTTCTAGTGGGTTTGTTTTTGGACTATCCCAGGGATGTAGGGAAACAGAACCTCAATAAAAAACTCTATGTGTTCTTTACTTTATGCTCATACATACTCTATATAGATAGACTCGCACACATAGATCTAGCCACAAACTGCACTTTCATTCAGGACATTTTATTTGTCCTTGATGTGGAAACGGAATAAGCTACCACAAGCTAGAGAATCCAATTGTCAAGTCAATATTGTACTTGTGTCCTTGATGGAAGTCTAAGATTCTCATACTCTGTTAATAAATTTGTTCTAGTCTTGACAAGGTTACATCAATTTTTTTCCGACGATTAGATACTTCAGTTCAGCTTTTAGAATACTGACCTTGAATAAATTCTGTGAGCAACCAAACTAAGATAACAAATAAGAACAAACCGAGAACTGCACAAAAATACAACCAAAGTTTGGGAAATGAAATTTGCAAATGCATAATATAACTTCAACAGAGAGAGAAAAGAGTATAGCTAAATCTTTTGAGATATCAAACAACAACAAGGTCCAAAATGCAAACAAATATAAACTATTAAACCTATTCAGCCTTGGCAGCAGATGCAGCAGCTTGACCTCTGAGATGACCAATCCTTTTAGCAGAAATAAGACCAACCTTCTGTCCAGGTGGTTCATCAAATCTAACCGTACTCGCGTGACCAATGTGCTGATGGTTACCTCCTCCATGAGGATGCTCCACTGGATTCATAGCCACACCACGAACCTTAGGCCATGAGTTTCTCTTCACACGGTACTTGTGTTACGCGTTTCCTGCCTTGAGCATCGGCTTCTCAGTCCTTCCTCCACCAGCAACTTGACCAATCATAGCTCTGCACCCACTCGGAACAATCTTCTTGGAACCAGATGGCAACTTGATCCTATCAAACACACATAATAAAATTCATCATTGTGAATTTGAACAACGAATGTATTCAAACCAATCATTCTATACTACAACAAACTGTTATCTACATAAGTGTAACCAATTTAAGCAAAAAAAAAAACACAAGTTTAAATATTACATAGATTCAAAGACAATTATGCCACCTTCATAGATATAGACAGCTATGTCTGAAATCCAGAAACAAACGTTGTCGTATCATTGTCAGGGTTGTGTGCAATAACGATAGCGTAATCACCAAAAGCTCTAGCGAGCACACCACGATCACCGACATGATGCTCGACGTTACAGACAACAGTTCCTTCAGGGATAGCTCTAAGTGGGAGAACATTTCCGACAACGAGAGTGGCTTTCTTACCGCAGTATAAGAACTGTCCAGTGTACATTCCTTCGGCGGCGACGAAGAGGTCCTTTTGTTTCTTGTAACGGAAAGAATGACGGAACGTGACGCGAGCTAACGGCGCACCACGGTCAGGATCGTGGATGATCTCCATCACGACGCCCTTAAGGTATCCATTTCTCTTGCCGTAGTCGAGGCTACGGAACTTGGCTTGACCCTTGCGGTGGTGGGTGTGGGATTTGAAGATGGAACCTGCTCCCTTACGTTGAGCTCTGATGACACGACCCATGGATGGATTCTTGACGTAGAAGTTTACAATTAGGGTTTGAAACCAAACTCGATAGTGAGGAAAAAATCACCATTTTATTGTGTAACCTGACGTCGTTTCAACCCTAATGGGATTGGCCTATTGGAATTAAAGCCCGTTATTATTAGTCTAAACCCATACAAAAGCCTAAATCAAGAAAGATTATAAATCGAGGGTTGTTGTTTGTTTGTCTATACGGATTATTAATATTGAGAATACACCAAAATTATAATTTTTTATTAATTTATAGAAATTATTAATTTATATATATACTAAATGAAACAAAAATTCAATTTGAGACTATAAAATTATATTATTTTATAGATATTTAGTGTATATTAATTTATAGAGTATTAATTTAAAGAAGTTATATTGTATCAGATCAAAGTTGTTCATCACTAGGCATGGACAATTGGATACACATTCGGATTCAGATTAGGTTTTTTAGATCTCGATTTTTTGGTTTTTTCTCCCATGCCTCTGATTTACGCTATTAGAAAACTCTTCATAAGTCTTAGACCTTTTAAAATTCATGGAAGCTTAGACAAGGTATTATCAAGTTGAATCCAAATGAAAAACTACATATCACATGGACAAAAAAGGGTATAATTTCAATTTGGTTCATGTATATATAAAGAACATCAAAATAATGAACAAAACATTTGATATTTTCCCATGAAATTGCATATATGTGTATTTTAAGTTATATTATATAGTCTTGCTAAGCGCAATCTTTCTTTTGTTTTGGTTCAGCTTAAGACCATGTTTAATGGGAGGTTGTTAAGGTGGGATTCTTAGCAGAATATAAGAATCCGTCTCTTAATTCTTAACTAAAAAAACTAAAATCCGGCTCTTAGAGCAACCTTAGTGGTGTCACTACTTCTAAAATCTCTCACCAATTTAATATTAATATTTTTAAAAAAATTTAGTTAATTAAATAAAAAATATAAAAGGTAACTAATCAATGAACACAAAATGTTAGTGGGAGTATCTCAATTAATTGTCAAAGTACCTCCCCACACAATCGTTTTACACATATTTTCTTACTTTGGTTTTCTCTTTTTTACTTTTAGTATTTGTAATACACTTTAATAGTTGGGAAACTTGGTCACATCCCTTCAATGCTGATGCTCTTGAAGCTTTTATTTAAGAGCAGGTTTTTAGTTTTTTTAGTTAAAAGTTTAAAGATGGGTTCTTATATTCCGCTAAGAACTCCACCCTAAGAACATCCCATTAAACATGCTTTAAGAGCACAATTATCCCAAATCCTTAATGGGGTTTTCAATAAAAATTAGCGCACAGACGCCACAAAAAATATAACAATCAGTAATAAAAATAGTGAATTAAGGATCGCTTTTTTCCGTGTGTTCTTGCACTGTGCACGGGTCCCATTGACATAAACAACCCGAAATTGATGTGTTTTTTAATTTTTAATTTTTTAATCAGCCGAAGAAAAAAAAAAGAAAATTTAAGAAACCCTAATTGGGTTTCATGGATAATAATGGCCTAAGTATCTGAGATATTTGATAAATACATATATAGAAAGAACTATACATATAAAAGAGGATATATATTATTATGCAAGTTTCGTTGATGTACACAATACACAGAAATGCTATCGTTTTGAATCTATGATGTCTAAAATTTATCATATTTAATTTGATGAATAAACATGCACCAAAATACAATGAAACCTCTATAAATTAGTAATGTTGAGATTACATCAAAATTTTATTTTTTATTAATTTAGAGAAATATATAGATATACTAACTGAACCAAAAATTCAATATGGAACTATAAAATTATATTAATTTATAGAAATATTTAGTGTATATTAATTTATCGAGTATTAATTTATAAAGGTTCTACTAGAACAACAATATTTGGAGAGCACGTATAAGTCTCGTGTATAATGTGAGAGAAGTGATTCACACAAAATTTTGACTCTACACCTTACATAATATATTTATATACTTTTTTTTTTTTGACAACGAAAGGCTGATCTATTACTCAAGCTTGAGGTGGTCTGGGGATCCAGACCGGAATAAAACAACCAACATATATCAGATCACGATAGAAAGACCGTGCTGTCTTAGCTAAGTGATCGGACACAACATTTCGGGACCTAGGAACATAAACGATCTTGAAGTCTGGGAAACAAATCCGCAGCGATGATATCCTCTCCAGTTCCGTCGAAAAGCTCGGCCATCCATGGGGGTTTGTGAGCATCTATAACAAGTCCTTGCAATCCGTCCCAAAGTTCTGACATGGCGAATGTTGAAGCATGTTCTCCATTGCCCACCGCAGTGCTTCCAGCTTCGAATGCAAAGCCGATTCCACCCTAGTAACATTACGCAAGCCCATCAGCTGGCTATTCCCCGCGCTATCCTTCCAATCCCAACCACATCCTGAGAATTGATCTGTAGAAGTCCAAGAACCATCTACCATGCAGATATCTCGTAGGCTTATGACCTGACTTTCAGCATCGTCGCTTACTTGTGGTGGCACAATGCCAGTCTCCTGCTCATTGGCTTGAAACCAGGCAAGGCACTCGCTCTCCGTATATCGGGCTATTTCCAGAGGATCTCTATCAATTCCTCGGAACAACTTATCATTCCGAGCCTTCCATATGTACCATATTAGCCAAGGATAAGGGTCTCTGCCTAATTCCGGTTCCATTATGGCCTTCTTCCAGAATAGATAATCCATGTTCGCATATGTGCTCTGCAGTGGGAATAAGGTTGAGCTGGTAGGTATAGATGCTAAGGCCCACACTTGTAACGCAGGTGGGCATTGGAAAATTGCATGTGCAATTGTCTCTTCCGGTTCTCCGCATCTTGGACAAAAGTTGTCACATCTCATATGTCTATGGTTCAATGCACTCGTAACAGCCACATGGCCTGTTATAATTTGCCACATAAGATGGCACATCTTCGGGGGTGCTTTAATCTTCCAGACATATGCTTGGAGTTTTGTAATACTAGGCTCACCCACAACATCATCCTCCTCCTTCATCAAAATATTCCGAGCGACCCAATAACCGGACTTAACTGTGTACTGTACATTCCTTGTATAGCTCCAGCAATACGTGTCGCTGCGATGTGTTGGGCTAGTAGCCATACTTCTGATGAGAGGTATGTCAGCAGCGTCTATATAATTCGCCAATCGATCCAAATCCCAAGACTTCGTTTCGTGATTAATGAGATCACTCACTCTCATATTCGGATGTAAGGCCGGAGCAGCTGGAGAAGCTGGCCTTGCAGGGATTGTAGGAATCCAAGGATCCTCCCATACTCTCACTTCATAGCCTGAATGTATCTTCTGTCTAACCCCCAGCAGTAGTAAATCTCGAGAAGCCGATAAGCTTGTCCACACGTACGATGGGCTGTTGACAGTGAGTTTACGCAAAGGCGAACTCTGACGATAATATCGACCTCTCATAACTCTAGCTACCAGAGAATCTGGGTATTGTGCTAATCTCCATAACTGTTTGGCTAGCAGCGCCAGGATAAACTCATGGATCATCCTAAAGCCAATTCCCCCTTCCTCCTTGGATAGACATAACTTATCCCATGTAGACCAATTTGTTTTACTATTAATTTTAATTATTTATTTTATTTTTTTTCTTAAAGTTATTAATATTTTTATTTACTGGTCACCCCTAGGAAAAAGGGGCGTATCGTCGGGATTGGCTTGGTTAACGATGTCACTGCAGCGACATCGTCTTATCATCAGGAGCAGCACGATGTCAATGCTCAGCTACGCTCGGAGTTGGCTTCGCTCACCGAGCATGTGACTTCTCTCACCGATGTCCTCGACATTTTAACGGTTGGAAATCCGCAACTGGAGGAGATGTTGCGCCAGAGAAGGGAACGCGGAGGGCTTCCAACCCAACAGCATCCACCATCACAGTCACAGCCGGCAACCAACTTTGGAGTGGAGCAGGATTTGGCGAGCCAGGACGAGTTCGTTCGGCAATTTCACGACCAGCATCCGTAGTTTTTTTTTTAATTGTATATTATGCATTTTAAAACTTAATTGTATATTATTTAGTTACTTATAAAATATTTTATTTTTTATTTTTATTTATAATTTGATTTTTGTTATTTTTTAAAAATAAATTATTTATATTTATAATTAATTTTTTTAATAGGGAAAAAAATATTTCGAAGCAAAATCCTCGTAAATGTTTCCAAGTAATGTCTTCGTAAATAATTCTAGTAAGTTCCTCGTAATGAATTACTACGAGCTTACGAGGAAAAGTTAACTACGAGCTTACGAGGAAACCCTACGAGGACCTTACGAGGAAAAGGTAACCACGCCTTTACGAGGAAAAGTTTCCTCGTAAATTAGCTAGGACCTTACGAGGAAAAAGGTTTTACGATGAACGTGTTTCGACGAAATGCGTTTTCTCGTAAGTTCCTAGTAAATTGTCATTTACTAGGAAATAACGAGGAAAACCCGTCCTAGTAATGGACGTGTTTTCTTGTAGTGTTTTGCGAATGATGCCAGGTAAGTCTTCTTCTGTTCTTCCATTTTTAACTATCCACTCGAGAGTTTCAAATTTCAGCGAAAGATGAAGAGGCCCAACAAGAACGTTAAAAATGATTTACATTGTGACATTTTTTTGACATCTACAACAGACTCATATTGACTCTGCAAACCAAACCGGTAATTTTGTATCCATGTGAACGACGAATGAAGATTGTTTCCTCGCACTGCGTGCCAGACTGTCCGCCCGTGAATTCAGCGTTCTTGGTACATGGATGATTTCCGAGCTGTGAAAATTTTCTTTGAGGATCTTAATATCCTCCAAATAGTTTGCAAAGGCTGGCCATTCTTCTTGTTCCGAAATCATCTTCACCAATTGAGAGTAATGTGTTGCAAAAGTGACATGGTACTGATGCAAATTCTTCATACTTTCCATTGCCCATATAAGGACTTCTATTTCCGAATGGAGAGGCGAAAGGCAAGCTCTTACATTCCTTGCTCCCATCAAACCAGCAAAACCTTTTATGTAAAAATTGTGACATTATTATTTTTATATTTTAACTTCGAAAATTTTACTTAAATGTTTTTTATTTAAAAATTTGTTACTTTTGATTGGTTTAACTGTACCAAATTATTTTATTTTAATTTTAATAAATTTTTATTTTTATTTTACAAACACAATTTTACTTATATTATAATTAATAATAATGTATTTCAAGTATGTCATTTATCCCTAATTTTAAGTATGTCTATACTTATATATATATAAATCCTAATAAGTTTTAGATTTTTTTTGTTTTAGTTCAAATACGTTAAAATGGTAAAAATCAAATTTTAATTTAGTTAATAAACGAATAAATGCTAATAAAATTGTAAACATTAATTGTCAACAAATATATTTATTTGATTAGTATTACATTAGTTTTGTATTTTAAAGCACATTTAGAATTATTTTTGATCTATATATGTTTATTTATAAAATAGGATATATAAGTTAATGTGATTTTTTACAATATACTTATATTTAGTTTATTTTCTTATTAATGTTATATATATATATATATTATTGTAACGGTGATATATGATTTATTAGTTATAAATATATTTCAAAAGTCTTCAGAAAATAATTACTTATAATGATAGTATAAAAATTATTAGCAATACCATATTTAAAGAGTCTTTCCGAAAATTGTAAAGTTCTTTAAGGAAATTTTATATGTCATAATTAACTTGATGTCATTTTTAAAAAAAAAGTCATGCCATTCATTTTTTGGTGAAAATGAATGTGATATTGGTACGTACCAAAATCAGTTTTCATATAATGTATAAGGGATAGTTTCTTGTTTATAGTTAGATACTTTCATATAACTATGGTATGGCAACACCATGAATACTCCAATCTCTCTTAATCTGATTATTCGCTAAATTACTCAAATCTCTTTTAATCTCCCTTTCTCTCTAATTAATCTTTTTTATTCTCTAAACATTATCGTCTAAGCCTAATGGAAATTTTAAATTAATATGAATAATTGGTTTTCAAAAAAATATGGTATGGCAGTAAAATCCAAAGATAATTATGTGCATTTTTCGGCTTCTTGAATTAGACATATGAACATTTTTATAAAATACAAGAATGGGAGCTAAAATGAGAGAGTCAAAACTATATACACTATACCCATGTTCAGTTGCAAGTCGCTAACTGCAGCGACCAACGCCCGGCAGCTAGCAACTAAATTGTTGGTTGTTTATTTGTCGATGTATGAGCGATTGGTAATTTTTAATTGTTGTACTTGCTAACGTTTTGATTTAATATTTAAATGATAAAAAATAAAAAAAATACAAATTGGTTTTGTTAATCGCAGAAATCACTAACTAAATAAAGTGACTAATTGGTAGCTCAGCTCAGCAATGTGTAAATGAACAAACGATCTTTGATCGACACTGGCCGTTGTTGCTGGTCACTGCCACTAACACTAGGGCTGGGCATCATTACTCGTTACTCGCCTTAAACTCGGTATTTGACTCGTACCCGCCTTAAAAATTCAAGTACTCGGTGTTGTCAAGGCAAGTAACAAGGCGACAATTTTCATTACTTGCAAGACTAAGTCAAGTATCAAGTATCATTATTATATTTTGTATTTGACTCGTTCTGCCCCGCTACTTGTTCCATTACTTGCTATTTGTTACATAATCTATTAATTAGTTTTTCATATTTGTCTTTTTTTTTACTTGCATTTAGGACTAGACATAAATACACACTACTCTTCTTATATTTGTTACTTATTTTGTATCCAATCTTGATCTTTGAATACTCGTCGTTATCTAGTTAAGTATTACACATCAACAAATATTAAAAATTTAGTAATATGATTTGTTATTACTTGTTAGTTATCTAGAGAAGATATTCTTGTTATCGTGATCATTATACAATGTTTATATACCATAATATACATTTTTTAATTTATCTTTTTTATAATATGAACAAATATTCTATTTAAAGTAATTTACATGTTACTTTGAGTAAAATAAACAAAATAAATTTTCATGTCTATTTCTAACAGAATATTATTTAGTTATGAGTTCTTAAATATTCCGAAAAAGCTCGTAAATAGTGCACAAGTACTCGTAAATAGTAAGTAATAGAGCAAGGCAAGTAACTTGCAAGTCGTTTATTTTTCATCAAGTAATAGTAAGTACTCGTTTTAAACAAGTCAAGTACAAGTCGAAAATTTTATTATTCGTACAAGGCAAGTCAAGTCGCGAGTACATGCAAAATAGCAAGTACTCGCCTTGCGCCCACCCCTAACTAACACCTTGCAAACGAAGATGACCACATATATATCCTGTAACCACTTGATCTGATATTCTATTTGAAATAAAATAATTCAGATATGAGAACATCAATATGAGCAAGCAAGCTTTGTAGATGACACCACTTTCAAATCTGTATTACATGATAATATATATATATAATATGGAGCATTATTAAAGATTCTATAGAATTTCTTGATAGATAAAACTGGTTTATAGAAGTTAACAAGTTACACATCAAGATCACCAGTCAACCTTTCACGTTGAGTTGAGGGAAGAAAAAAGTCTCCCACATACCCAATCCCAACTATTACAAAGTCTTAGAAAGAAAACAAGAACAATAAGCCATCTCGAAGCTATCGGCCGTTTTATTGGACTTATGATCGAATTTTATCTGAAGATGGAGATGAGAGACATGAAGAACACTTCATCACAGGGTATGATTAGACCCATATTATGCTCAAAACCAAACTCTTCCTCGGCTAGTCTGAGCAACGTTTGAAACTCGGAGTGTTCGAGCCACGAGATGGGAACGATGTACCGACTTCGGTTCGGCCCAACGTAAACCGGAAAGTGACCTTTGGGCACGTCTTGTGGAAGACTATCATCTTCTTGATTATTGTAGCAACCGTTGACGTTCTTCTTCTTCCCTAGACTTGAGCATCTCTTTAAGATTTGCTTGATCGATGCTGCTTGAGTTGACCTCTTTATGACCATTGTTTTATTTCAAATATTTTCTTCTTTTTTCTAAAACTTGGGGTTTGTTTGAAGAATTGTTATGGATGTTAGACGTCCATGGAGACGTATTTATATATGGAATATGGACTTTTTGGATGGCATAATTTAAATAAAAGAAAATAATATATATTTATACATATAGATAGATACAGTACATTAGCTCTTATAGATAAAAATCAATTCGGTTTGATTACTGATGACGTTGACCAAATAGTAACTATAATATAGGTATTATTAAATGTATATTTAAACATTTACATATATATATATATATATATATATATATATATATATATATATATATATATATATATATATATATATGCATTAGAATACCTTTCTAATTTGTTAATTTTACTAGGTTGCTTAGTCATGATGTTGAAAAACTAGTGACTAATACCACCTCTAATGGTTGAAGTTCTCCCCATTGGAATTTTTAATATGTGTATTATATATATATATATATATAATATATTCATATATATGAATATATTATATATGCATAAGTAATTGTACGACCATAAATAAAGGGTTTTAAAGAATCCTTACCTATAGAATTTCACAAAAATTATAAACCCCATAATTACTTATACATATATAATATATACATATATATATACATAACACATATATTAAGTACTCCAATAGGAAGAATATTCATTGAAAGTGCTCTAAAGGGGATGATTAACTTCAATTTTTTAATCTGAATTCTTAACTTATGATTTGACATTTTTTTCGGATAAGAGATGGTTATTATATCTTATATTTAAGAGATAGTTCTTATCTTTTCTTAGTTAAAATCTAAAATATGTTAAAAGTCGTCTCTTATCCGAAATTAAGAACTCCAGTTAAAAAAAACTAAGATTATTCATAGTTTAAGGTTGCCTGTATAGATTTGACGTAAAAGAAGAATATTTAAGAGTATGCAATTACGTATATATTACACATGCAATGATTTAAACTGAGATAAAAATCAGTTAAAACAAGAGAAAATATATGGTATATACCTACACAAAAATCCATAATTCACTAAGTAAACAAATTCATATTCTCTCTTTTCTTCTTTTTTTCTATCGCTTTCTACTCTCTTTCTAAAAAAAAAAATTATTTTTTTCTTAGGTATTTCACAAATAAACCCTTAAAACAACATTTTTTCCAAAACAAATAATCAATAAAAACACACGTAAACACGTAGTTTTAGTAAAATATCTATAGGTGTTAAAAAAGAAGTAAAACATCTATAGATAACTAGTGATGGTATCTCAGATTCTCATTTAGTCATGTGACATTGCAAAGCATATACAAGGTTTCAAGTTCAAGTGTCAGTAACATGACAAATATTTTTTTTTTGTCATACAAGGATCCAAGTTCAAGTGTCAGTAACATGACAAATATTTTTTTTGTCGACAATAAATTTATATATGTTATATCAAACCGAAGCAATTAAAGTTATCCCATTAATCTAGATTTCCTGTTTGGATTCAAGTTAGTACATTAAGATTTCCTGTTCTTCTGAAAGCAAAATCATGTGGGATGTAGGAGGCAAGGGCTAACAAACATCGAGGACAGAGCCAACAATGACAGAAAGACTAGAGAGATGTAATAAAAATTGTGAAAGAATGTATACAAAACAAAGTCGGGTAGGACTATAACATTGCCCTACAATGTCTCCCATTTGCCTTTACATACTTAGACACAAGTTACATACAAATGTCTATTTTGTTTCTCTTACATTTAATGTCGTATACATCATATGAAGGAGATCATGGCCTGTTATATATCTTTTATAGATTTGTATGTACAATGTTGCGGACGGAAGAAGAGTTTTCTATGTTGTAACAAAAGTACGTACTTGCGATGATACATATTTAAGGGCTCGGCACAAAAAGATATCGCAAAACCTTTGTCTTGGTTTCTCATAAGTACACATGTATTCCTGCAACAAAATACTCAAATCTTTGAAGTTACCATTTTTGAATTTTTCAAAAATGATCAATAATATATTTAAAGTTAATTGATTTTTGTTCTAAACGTATATGAAGAAATTTCTGAGTTACTCACAAATCTTTTTTTAACTTTATATCTAACCTTTTTCATTACTGTAGATGGTGTTACTCTAAATATACTGACAAAACCTGCATATATTTGTAATTTGTTTGTGGATTTTGTTTTTCTAGAATGTATCAAAGTAATCAAAATTATACGTAATTTACGTAATTTTCTACTACATAATTTTTTTTCTATAGGATCCAAATATGTGAGTTGGATGAATTCTCAATATTTATTTATAAACCATGGACTAGGGGTGGGCGTTCGGGTACCCATTCAGGTTCGGTTCGGATCTATTCGGATTTCGGGTTTTTGGGTTCACAAATTTTAGCCCCATTCGGATATTTCTAAATTTCGGTTCGGGTTCGGTTTGAATCTTTGCGGGTTCGATTTGGATCTTTGCGGATTCGGTTCGGGTACGGATAAGCCATATAAATTATTTCTTAAAAACTTTAAAATTGATAATATTCTTTAAATTTCTAAAAATCTATAAACAAAATAAATATTACAAATAATTGAATAACATAAGTCAAAATATCTAAAATTAACATATAAATTAGTTTGTTTTGAATATTTGGATTGTGAATCAATAATTGTTTTTTAAAGTATTTTGATGTTTTGAATGTACTTTAGCAATTTTAAACATGTATGTTTGACTATTTACATATATTTACAAGTATTTTGAAAGTATTTTATATTTATATTGAATGTTTTTATGTACATTAAATCTAAAATAATTAATACATATAGGTATATAAATCTCTTTCTGATATATTTGGGCACCCGAAATACTTCGGTTCGGGTCGAGTTTGGTTTTGGTTCCTTAAATACCAAAATTTTGAATCCACTCGGATATTAAATCAATTTCGGTTTGGGTTTGATACTACTTTTTCAGATCTGGTTTGGTTCTTCGGATCCGGAATTTTTGTCTAGCCCTACATGGACCACACAAACTTTTGGTATTCAACCTCCTGCGAAATCTTTCACACATTCCATCCATCTCTTCCATATTTTTTTCGAGTATCTAATCAACAAAACAGTACATATACATAGGGGTGGGCACAATTACTTGCTACCCGACTTGTACTCGCTACTTGATTTATACTTGGCTCTTAAAGTCGAGTACTCGTTTTGTTCAAGTAGAGTATCAAGTCGTTTATTTCAATTGCTTGCAAGTACAAGACAAATAACAAGTACTAAAATGAAAACAACTACTTGGCGTTGTTGGCTTGCTACTCATAGTTATACATAACTTATTATGCATTTTTACTTTTGAACGAAAAAAATATTTGTATTATAATTAAATTATTTGTTTATAGGGTAAACGAATTAAAAGTGATATATTATAGAAATATTTTAGATTTTTATACTTTATATATATATATATATATCAACTTAAAACATATAAAAAATAACTTAGAATTATAACTAATTAAATTTTTCTTAAACTAATATGCAAGACTTAAGTAGCTAAAATTAATAATTCATATTAAATAACTTATAAATTACTTCAGAAGTAAGTATAAGTACGTAACAAGTAGTAAATCAGAACAAGTAACTTGCAAATATATTATTTTTTAGCAAGTACTTGAAAGTGCAAGTATTCATTTTTAATAAACCAAGTACAAGTCTAACATTTTATTACTCGAACAAATCAAGCCAAGTACTAAATATGCCAAAAATAGCAAGTAGTTTGCTTGTGTCCACCCCTACATATACATGAGAATGGTCATTAAAGTACTGTATATTGACTGACAACTCTAGTAACCAATCTTTAACATATAAACGTCAAAACGTGTGTGTCATTACTTATGAGCTTACTTCAACCGTATGATACTTTTTCTATTTTTACAATAACTTCTTCTTAAATGATTTTTACATCTCTCTATGAGGTCACCTTTGATAACGTGTTATAAAACTAGAGAAAAACTTGAGAGAGCATTTTCATTTGCAAGTGAGAGATGTGAGAATGTTGTGTTTTCTCATTAACCAAAGGCCACATTATATAGTGGTTTGTACAAGGATTTACAAGGAGGATCTACACATTAATTACATGTTGACTACACATAAATGACTAAGATATTTCTGCATAAAGTCTTGGTCAAAGTCTTGGTTGCAAGGCTGAATGGTCTTGGTCAAAGGCATTGATGGCTCGGTTTAATGTGTCGCCATGGTTTAATCTCGGTTGGACCGGATGTGGTGTAGATGGTCTGATGTGAACCTCCTCTTGTACTTTGGTGAAGCATGTGGTTATGGACAATCCACACAATGGATTTATAACACTCCCCCTTGGATGCCATAACCATATGAGTTCATAATATGCTTAATGTTGCCTCGTTAAAACCTTTCTAGGAAAACCAAAACCCAAGGTGGGAAAAATGGAAACCGTAGATAAGTAAAAAGAGTACAACACATATTACTCCCCCTGATGTGAACATCACTTGTTGGATAGATGTTCTGTGGTTCGGACATAACATGTCTCGATGAGTGTTTATGGTACTTAGAAAGATGTACCACCTTTGATATTAACCACTTTAGTACTTTAGATAAAATGTACTATATTATACTCATGTCTTTGATTATGGTCTTCAACCAAATCATTCTTATATGCCTTTTCCATAATATATGGCAGGCTAATATGGATCATCATTGCCTAGGCTACTTAGCTCTTTTGGCCATGCCTCATCTTATGAGTATATAGATCACTTTATATCAACAACTTGTGCACATGGGCGGTTGGATTTGATTAGGGCAATTCATGGCCGTGACCTTTGACCTTATGGGTCATAAAGATGATGTCCAATTACATTCATGATTTACAGCTTTATCATGAACCAAAAATCTTTACACTATGGTCGGACCGGTTGGGTCGGACATATGCGCATAATGCGGTTTTACACCTCTTGTTCAAACATGAACTTTGATTGTATAGCTTATACATCTTATATGCTGAGAGGATTCGGGACTGGACCTTAAGAAA